AGCAGCGGAACTGGTTTGAAAAAAAAAAAGAGTTTTATTTTTTAGTGTTTATATTTGAGTTACTCTGCTTTTTAAGAGTAAGACTGAGTACCTGTGTGTGAGTGAGAGGGATGCAGATGGAGTAGTGAGGCAAAAGGAGCAGAGGTCACAAAGGTGCAGGACTTCAAGGACTTCAGGTCCACTGTCCAGGAAAACAGTGAGTGTGGTGAAAGAGTCCAGACAGGATGGAGAAATGATCCAGGAGTGGTTTATGAATAAAGGGAAGCAGGAAAGGTTTAGGAGAACAGTGAAACTMGCTATTCTGTATGGTTTGGAGACYGCAGCATTGAAAAAAAGAGACAGAACTGAAAGTGTCAGAGCTGAAGATGTTGAGGTTCRACTTGGGAGTGACAAGGATGGAGAAGATTAGGAATGAGATCATCAGAGCTCCAGCACAGGTTAAAGGACTYGGAGATAAAATTAGAGAGACCAGACTGAGATGGTTTGGACATGTCCAGAGGAGGGACAGAGTGTAAACTTTTCTACATTTAAAGTCTTGTTCACATTAAAGCATGAAAACCCAATCTTAATGAATTAATAGACAACTTTAGTTCTTGTTGCAGAATTTGACTGTTTTTTAAACCACAAAATAAAGAAATGTAAATGATATAATACAAGTCAAAGAACTACGTTCATAGATGATTAAACATGATAAGTTTTTATTTTAATTCTCAAATTTCTAGTCCTTAATTTAAGCCACTCTGTAGTGTGATTGTATCAAATGTTAGTTACTTTAACTCAGACTCAGCAGTAGTTTTCATGAATGCTGCTTGTCCTGAACAGCTCGTAAATCTTCTTTGAGGAGAAGCACATGACTCTATGGGGCCACATGACCACAGGAGCCCAACTGGGCTGCAGTTTCTCTGTAGGGGCCTTGTTTTAGCTGGAGGAGGCTCATTCTTTCTGCAGTAACATGACCAGAGCTCAGGAACAAGTGACGTGCAGGCGGGGCACCTTTTATATCCTGTGACCYCTTAAAAAAAGTCAAATCTTATTGAAAGGTCGACAGTTTTGATTTTCTATTAGTCATCGTACTGATTGTTACATACAGTATATAATAATGTTTCTAAATCATCTTTGTTGAAGTGGTTTTAGTCCAAATATTTTATTTGAATAATTGTTTATAATCCACAATTGTACACTTARATTGACTTTGGTACATCAATGGATTGTTAAGCAACAAACCTAACAAGTCTCTTTAAATACATGCATTATAATTTAACTTAAACTAGACTAATTGTGATAATATAATGTAATACAAAGTGAGCTCTTTCATTTATTTTTAATTCATCTGTCCTTGGCTAATTCAGCTTTTATTATCCTCAGAAGTTTGATTTTACATAACAGAAAAAGGAAATTCCTGCTGGTTGAAAATGACTACGGTAATCAGTGTGCATTGCCAATGCAATGCACATTATTGTGATTCATTTCCCATCCAAGTCATCTCAACTTTGCCATGCTTCTCCTCCTGCATACTTTGTCCTAGAGCTGCCATTGTAATTTTTTATCTGTAAAGCCCCTGTGCCAAATGATGGCTATGCCTTTTGGTGCCTGTAAAACTTATAGTTTTTGAAATATTAATGTTTAATAAATTATAAAGGCAGTCAATGGA